CGCGATTTTGACGGAGGCTTCCGAGCGTGTTTCTCCTCGCCACGTGCGGCGAAGCGAGCAAACGTCTAATTGTTGACTAGCATCCTCTTTGCTGTGTAATTATTGGATCATTGGTAGTCATGATTTATGGACAAAGAAGGCTGATGGCGCATCTTGCTTTTTTTGGGAGGGAAGTAGTCATTCGTCTGGCACGTCGGCAGAGCCATGCCGGTCTATTTCGGGGCCTCGTCGAGGTTTGCATTTGCAGTGCAACTAGTGGAACTAATACCCAGGCTAACTACAACGACGTTTTTAAAGTGAATACTGTACATTGAGATAATGGAAACGTGTCCGTGGCGTCTTTCATACATTTCAACCCAACCGCTTGCCTGTTGCCAGTTATTTAAGAGCGGTTTAATGGATTTTTCAAACCCCACAGAAAATTTGGTTCTGGCACCAAACATCACGGTGGAAGCACTGAAATCAAGCTGAAGGGCAGATGTCTAGAAATGTGGGGGTTAAAACAAAACACAAAAACAACAATGAAATGCAACTTTGTGAGACAGTTACCGGAATGACTGTCATGAGTTTCCAGTGTGTTTTTGCCACTCTGTTTACCCAGCCTGCCCTGTGGCTGGAATTGATCGAAATTATTAGTTTTAATCCGGTCAAGTTCAATACAAGATTATTGACTTGGTTCAGAAGTAGATAGTGGTTCACTCTCAAGCTAAATGATTCTCCTTCACCTACTGTATTCCAATGTATTTAATTTTTTAAGGAAAGCATATAACAATAACATGAAGTCCACCGCAAATACTTGAAACAGTTTGTGTATCATGATCAATTAATCGCAGCTCCTTCTGGCGATTGCAACTCGAGTGCCGACACCCACGTCACTCACCGGGCCAGGCCCTGCCTTAAAACCGAACATGTTTGAAGTCACAGATATGCCAGTGTAGAGCATGAGGATTGCCAACTGAAGTGGTCTAAAAGTTAAACCTGCACTTCACGGGCATGTTTTCATATTGGTATTGTTGCTTAAGAATGCAAAATACATTTTCATTCCATGACTTAAATCGTCGGTTCTGGACATGTTTCGATGGCCCCAGTCTAACTTAAAAGCACCTCACAATGAATGTTCTATGAGTAACTGTCATGTTGACTATACCATGGCCATTTTTTTGTTGCTTTCAGTCACTCGTGATGTTTAGCTCACCACAGCCTGCAGGTGAGTGAAATAGGACAACCCTTGACTAGTGCAATAAAGACCAAATCATCTGACCATGTGTTCACAAAGCATAAACATGCTCTCAAGTCATATTTCCCAACAACACAATTCACTTGACTGTTATTTTCAGTGTTTAAATGTGTCACATGAAGCAATACAAATCAAGGATGTCTTGCCCCCCCCTCCCCCACAATGAGCAAAACCTGGTCTAAAGTCAATAGCACATCATATTTAAGCTGCTACTTAAAAAGCCCGTTCGAGAAACATTGTTATTGCTGCACAAGCTTTAAGTAAGCACTTCTGCCTTCTGTTGGGTTCGAGTTGAACAACAACAAAAAAAAAAAAAGAAAAATAGACAGACCGTAAATGCCTCACGATTTGTAAGATGAGAGCCAAAAGCTCACTTGTTGTGTGTGCTTCAGATTGGCGCTTCTTTGGAGAATTCCATCGCTAATGTGAACCTTGGAAAGCTTCATTATTATCGCTCTCTAATTTGCAATAAATGATCATTTAGTTAAAAAAAAAAAAAACAAGTCCAGGCAGGAAGTACAACAATGTACTGAGTCAATCAGGAGTGTTGCTAAGCAACGGAGCGGCGGCAGTTCGCTTCCTGCGGTTTGTCGTCACCAAGGCCTTTTCACGATCTTGTGGGAAAAATGGCATCGTGTTCGTTGTCAGGCAAATTGGCAAAGGCAAAATGAATGATGTCGAATCGGTACTTTGAAATGTGGACGTAAGAGCGGTGGAAACGTGATAAATGGGGCACGTTGAAACGAGGATTCATCGTAATTGCTTTCTCAGCTGTCAGGCAAATTGGCAAAGGCAAAATGAATGATGTCAAATCGTTACTTTGGTTGAAACGAGGATTCACCGGAATTGCTTTCTCGGCGGACTTTTTAAAGCACGTTTCAAAAAGTTGAACATTTTCAGAGCGGCCCCTTCATCCTTCCATTTTTCTATCGGCGGCCCCTCAAATAAAAAAGTTTGGACACCCCTGACTTAGACGGACGGCACGTTGCAGTTTAATGTTCAATCGGCGCCCATGATGAGGTGGCCCTTGGAAAATGTTGTCGCCTGGAAGCGGTCCCCGCAACCAAAAGTTTGAAAACACCTGACTGCTCACCTGCAAGATCAGGACTCGCGCGTTTTGAAACGTCACTGGCATAGAACAGACAACTGGCGCGCAAATGCTTTTTGTCTTAATTCCACTCAACAAAAATGCAACAAAACAACATTTCGTACCGAGTTATTCTCTTGTAAATATTGCCCACATATTACAGGTCACGCGGAATGTATCTGCTTTGAATCCCGCGTGCACACACACACACACGAACACGCGTGCGCACGCACGCTGTGCCTCCCAACGTCCTCCCCAAATAAGTTGAGCCTTTGGACTTGAAAGCATTTAGTGGTCTCACCTTGGTCTCAAGAGTGTACATGTGCTTGCCTTGTTTGGACAAGAGGTAAGGGCCACTTCCTGCCATTTAAACACATATTTTTTTCAAATCATTTATTCAAGTGATTATTTTGTTTGCTTACTTGTATTTCTGCTAAATTGATGTCGGAAAACAGGACAGTAGCGCGTACGAAAGAGTCAACTCATCAACCAATGGCTGATTCTCTTGCTACGGTTTGTCGTTGTTAAAAAAAAAAAATATATATATATATATATATATATATATATAAGGGGTAAGAAAGGGGCTGTGTTTTTTTTTTTTTTGTTGTTGTTGGCTTGCTTGTTTTTGAAGTCCCGGCTGCCTCCGTGCAACAAACTGAAAACCATGCTGGACGAAGCACAACCTTTGAAACTTTACGACAGTGTTTGCGGCTTGTCAGTCTGCTTTGCGGTTTGCGTGCTCAGCTCGATTAAACAAAAATATGCGCCTTTGCCAGATTTTCTTCATTCCCTTCGTTGTGTATTTTGGCACGGTTTGCGATTGTGAAGGCTCTTGTGCATCTGAGTGGATTTGAAAATTGTGGAAAAGTTCCCTTATTTCACCGTTTCAACTCGTACGTGCATTGAAAGTCATTTTATTTCTTATGCTGTCTCATTTCATGAAGGGTTTCGTTAGCTGTAAGCTGTAATTATCAAAATGATAAAATTGCAAGTGTAAAACTCTCGCCAGTGCACCCAAATCAGTTCCACATTTTGAACTTTTTGTTTCTGATGATGCACCCTGCTGAACATCGTTCAAGCTTGAAGCGGTCGGTTGAGCCGCCGACGTGCGATCCAACGGCCTCGCCTCTCTGTGCGCTGGCTCAATACGACAATTTTGTTTTCTCGTAAGAAATGTGAAGCCGTGTTGGGTTCCCACATTGGATCTTCCCCCCCACCCCCCTTCTGCTGCCGTCCCGTGCTTGACACCGACATGAGAAACAAATGAATCGGTCATGTGGGAATCATATGAAGCAGCTCAGACGTTTGTGCATCAGCGATTCCCTCGCGAGAGAAATAACTGGGCCCCCGCCGTCACCGCTGACCTGGAATTGACACGGGCGTGGCCGCCGCCACTGTTGCGCCGTCTTAATTTTCCCTTGAAACATTTTAGTTCAACATTTTGAGCACCCCTCCTAGAAATCCAGCACCGGGACACTTTTAAATATGTAAAAAAAAAAAACATTCGATTGCCTCATGGGGGGACGGATTTTTAATTGGAACATGAGGAGTTGTTTTCATGTATTTATCTTGAAAGAAGAAAAAAAAACGTCTTGAAACAGAGCCTCGAGTCTTCCTTTGACTAATGGACGTTGTACAAAGGTTGGTTTGTTCAGTTGGGTGGCAGGTTCTATGATTTTTTTTTCTTTTTTTTTTTTTTTTTGAATGAAACGCCTCCATTCCGTGCGCACGTGTTCCCCTTATTGCCCTTGCGAAAGTGTCTCACTGGCTCAACGACGTTCACCTTCTGCCCGGCAAATAATCTGCGGGTTCATTGGGAGGTGGCGCCCGTCGGTTAGCGTCCCGCGGGCAGGAGACGCTTTAGCCAGCTCCGCTTTGGCCATCGGAGAGGTGAACAAATGTTCGGCCCCTTTTTTCTCCGTTGGTTTATGGTCGCGTCTCGGGAATAAACGACGGTCACAGAAAGCGCATCGGTCCCTGCTCAATTTGATGAAATGCGAGGTCATTTCTCAAAAACGGACCAATCTTGGCATGTTTCATTGAACAGCATTTTGTTTTGTTTTCAGAAGTGCTGGAAAATCCCCTCAAATCGCAGAATCAGAAGTGGAGGGTCTCAAGCGGGAGAGAGCATATTCACGTGAGTCATCCAAACTCGTCATTATTTACCTACGACGAATCTCATTTCCATCCGGTATTCCAACCGCTTCCCCGAGTTTTTTTTTTTTTTTTTAAATCGAGTCGAGTGAACCACTGTGCATTCATCATGGTGTGGTTATTTTTTTTCTCGGCTATTTTTGGTGCTCTTTCTGTCACGCTGCAAGATCCCGCCAAAGCCCAGGATCACAGGAAAGTAGCAAATGGGTGTCAGAGGACTACATACAGTAAAATCTCGACAGTTCTAAGATCTTTATATGTCGGGGAGGAGCCAAGTTTTCCAGAGTAAAAGCGCACTGATTCCTAAATGCTTCCTTGATTTGACGCCATGATCATCAATTTGCTTCACACAATGTTTCCTGTCGAGAGGCTGGCATCAGAGGGTTCCGAAAATTGACGTATTGAAATGGCTTTGAATCGTATGTCGGGGCGGCGCGGCGCCGGACTGGTAAGCACGTCGGCCTCGCAGCGCAGAGGTGCAGGCTTCGGTTGCGGCTGCGGGGTTTGCATGTTCTCCCCGTGCCTGTGTGGGTTTTCTGCGGGTACTGCGGCTTTCACCCACAGTCCAAAAACATGCCTGGCGGGCTCACGGGTGACTCGAAATTGTGATTGCGCTCGCAAATGGTCGTTGTGTGCCCTGCGATTGGCTGGCGACCGGTTCAGGGTGCCCCCCGCCTACTGCGCGATGACAGCTGGGATCGGCTCAGGCATGCCCGCGACCCTCCTGAGGATAAACCGGATCAGTTTATGGATTTATGACTGGATGGTGACGTTCCCAAAAGTGACTGAGTAGCATGCACCGGAAAGTTAAAAAAAAAAAAAAAAAAAAAAACCCTGTTGCGCCCATCAACGCGAAATACGGCAGATGTGTCGATCATAACTGGCCGCACGAAAAAGTCTCAAGGAAACCTGGCGAAAATGTAATCAGAAAATCAGACCTTTTGCTTTGAATCAGCCATTCTGGGCAAATTCCAGGGAATCACATGTCAACCACCTCGCACTGGACTTTCTCTTTCAAGCCCCCCCGCCCCGTTTTATTTTCAGTGACTTTCCGCAGTCCAGTCATCCCTCGCATCTTGACAAATAGCCACGAAATTGAGCAATATTAAATTGGCACCTCCAGCCACAATAAGAATCAGATGGCAGCTTTGCGGCTTTTGTTTCGGTGTTCCCTCCCCAAAGTCGAGGCGGCTGCTCTCATCAAGAGAACACAGTCGGGCTCTGTGACTGAGTGGGAGGGTGTGCTCTCCAAACAGGCCTTGCCTTTACCCGATCCTATCAGCGCCGAGGTTCATAGGTCACCGCCGTCTTGTGTTTATAAACACCGCCGACAGCCATGAAATACGTTTCTCGCCACGCTTGACGCCGAACCTTTGGTCGGCGCGCCGTCGCCCCTGAGTTCTCACCTCTCATTCAACGCCCCGAAAAGGTAAGTAGCTCCTTTTCCCTTTCCTTTGCGCAGTTTGATTTGAGAATGGGCAACTCAGAGAATGGAAAGAATGTGTCACGCTCGGAATGAAATTGCCATCCTCTTGTTTTTGTTTTTTTTTTGGGTGTTAGGGGGGCAAAAGCATGTGGTTGCATACGGAAATGTGAAATTTTCACAAATATTTCACCAATAGTCAGGAGCTGAGAAAGTCTTGATGGAGTCTGCTGGTTGATGGAAAACTGCCTTATCTGATATCTGTCAGATGAATGCCCCCCCCCCTCCACCCTTGTAGATGAGGCATGTTGAAGGGTTGCGGGAGGCGGGGTTTACAATTACTATCACTGCCTAAAATGAATCACCGCTCGTTCATGGTATGTGTCGCCAAATCAACATAAAAAAATAGTCTGCAAGTATATCTGGATGGGTTATTAAAATGAGAATTCAAGATTTCCTGTTTAAAAAAAAAAGCAAAAAAGATTTGGTCTTCTTTCTGCCTATTTGACTTCAAATTTTGCCTTTTGGTGAAAATGTGACGCTTTAAAATTCAGCACTCTTTATCACTCGTCTGGAGATATGTATCCAATCATCTTTTATCGGAGAAACGCGCACCCCAACCTTCTTTTTCGGAATCAGTGTTCATTTACGAGAGCGCCGCCCATCCGTCTTTGATCAGTTCAAGGCCACGTAACCTTAATCTGACCCTTTTAAGGCCGTCTCGAAATTTTCGTTTGCATTTGACCGTGTCAAATAAACACTTTCAACTCGCTGCCAAAGCAGACGACGAGCTAACACTCATAGCTAGCATCCGTTCATTGCCACTCCGATGTCACTTCACTCAGAGAGCAGAGACGTAGCCGCCAATACTCATTTTTGAGGTACTTTTACTCCTGAACTAAATTTAAATTTTATTTAGAAAAAAATATTCTCTTTTGACGTGCACTTAGGTACTTTGTCTCTCCAGAGCGCGTTATTTGCCCGAATCTTTCAAAATAATAGATTTTACACGTCTCGTTGCAATATTTTTGCTCCCAGTTATCATAGCATCTAAATTTGATGCTCGCGGCATGAGCCGGTCTCAATTTGCCATCTTCGATGGTGTGTAAACTTGACAAAGAAGGTGGCTGCCGGCAACCTGTGTTTGACCGTCTCGCCTTTGCCGCGTGCCGGCGGCGATGCTCATCTGACATCCGATTGAGTCCTCATCCCCACTTCCAGCATTCTTGGCCCCGCTTGCCCCTCAGGCTTCACAGGAGGCCTTATGAGGATCATTTGACTCCGGTGATATTGCGGCTTTGGGCTATTTTTTATTTTTTTTTAACAGTGGGGAGAATGAGCAATTTGTTGCTCAATTCTCCAAGACCGTATTGTGTTCCGGAAGGCTTGTCTTGTTTATTAGATGTGTAATTCTCAGCGCAATGTGGATGCTTCGAATATTGCATTCAGAAGCGATATGGTGCTGCGTGATTATTTGCTCCGTTTTCCTCCGTGAGCCAACCCCGTTTTCCTGCTTTTCGCATCTTTTGGGTGATAAAACGCAGCTCGTGCTCAATTGGGAACATCACGACGAGTGTTTTGAGATTTGTTTTTTTCTTTTTTTTTTGTACAGGGGACCAGAAGTTGGGCACAATGCGAGTCCACGTGCACACCAGGTTTTGTTTGTTGTGCGTGCTCACCTTCCTCTACCATCAATCCAGCCACTGTCACGGTGACGGCCACCGCCAGCAGCATCACGGTCATCACCACGCCAGCCACGCCCACAACGACCTGCAGATTTCCGAGGCTCCCTATGTGACAAGAGCGTCCCCGCCCGCCGAGTCGGCACTTCCCGACGGGGCGCCTTTAGAGGAAGAGCAGCAGTTTTACATCCGGCAGTTGTTCAGGCGCTACGGCCAGAAGGACCGGCTTGATTTCCAAGGGTTTCAGAGCATGCTGGTTAGCCTGGGTCTCGGCGAAGTCAAAGTGGTCGATGTGGCCCACGATGACCTCGGGCACGACCACGTCGCTCATCTCGACATTCTGGACGTGCAGGAGGGCCTCCATTCACACGGTAAAGCCCACGGCCGCAGCCACGCGCATCACAGTCCCAGCGCCCACCATCCGCACACGGAGCACGGCCCCACGCGGTGCGGCCAGAGCACCGCCTCCGTCACGCCTCCCAGCACGTCGAGAGAGCGCCCCCATAAACATCATGGCGATCACGATCATAACCACGACCATACACACGGCGCGGAGCACGGTCACCATCACGATCACGCCGAAGACGACGGCGGCCATCATTCTGAACGCGCTCTGATGGGCGCAGCTTTGCCTCCGGCCAGCCGCGAGCGTCCGTCTTCCGCCCCGGTGGACCTGCGGTCTTCTCCCGCCCCCGCAAACGCAAAGTCCAAGAGGCCAAGGAAGCCAGGGAGGATCCGAGGGCAAAACAAAACCCTCTCATCTACCGCGCCGCTGTCTGAAAACCACGACCACAGAAACGGAGTGGACCACGGTCACGGCCATTCTCATAAAGACAAGCGAGAAGCACCGGGAGGCCCCGACAGCGCCACAGTTCCGGGCCCCATTTTCTCTGCGCATGCCAGTGGCTTGACTCACCAGCATGAGGAGGTAGCGCCTCAAAATACAGCCCACAAGTGATGCGGGTCAAAGACACCTTAATACCATGTCTGAGCCCCGAAAAAAACAAACTAACAAGCAAACAAACTAAAGCCATCGTGAACTGCTAGACATAGACAGCCTTTTCTTCTCCCTCCTCACTTAATCAGTGAGCTGACGAATTCCATTTGTCACTTAGAGTAGCAGATCCATATGGGTGACAAATCTCCAAACAGCCACCCCAACCTCCACCTCACCCCCACCGCGGCGACAATTTCAACTGAGCCGCTTATCAGAAGCTAATGCTAATTGTCGAAAAAAAACGACAACAACTGCAGCTCTGCTTGACTTTTTGCTTTGACGTGATCGTGTTTGAGACTGGAAAAAAAGTGGCAGATCTTGACGCGGTGTAGCCGCCAAGTCACAGGCAGACAAAACGATGTCACTTTTGCCCATTCAAGTTGAGATTTCTGTACAGGCTTAACGCAAGTGGCTGTATGGTCAAGCTAGCAGCATATTTTGGGATGCTTAGGGAACACATTTAAAAGAGCACAACAAAGTGAACCAACTCGAAGAGTTAACTTTTTTTTTTTTTGTTAACACATTACCATGAGGCCTATGACTGTTTTGACTCTTGACCTTGGCCGCTATACTATTAGGCTAGCAAGAACTTGCTTCACACTGCTTAGTGACCGATTAGCATGTGGAGTATTTTTGATAAATCTTGTTTGATCAAATTAGAGAATGACAAGATCTTCCAATAGTCCGTTGAATCTGAACAGAATGTCTGTTGGGCGTGTTGGGGGGTGGCGGTATGTTTGATTTCAGACTCGGGGCGGGTGGGCAGAGCAAAATTGAAAAGTGCATTTTCCAGGTCTCCCTCTCTCCTCTCCCAGTGTTTGAACCTGACCCAACTCCTCCACCACTACGGGCTGAGTCCCGATTCGCTCATCTCTCCGAGCCAGTTCACCTACCTGTGCCCGGCTCTGCTGTACCAGATCGACAGCCGGCTGTGCATCCGCCATTACCACCAGAAGGACGTTGAACAGGAAGCATTGGACAATGTCAGTTCTGGTAAGTGCGAAGCGCGTCATCCATCCGCCTCACTCGGGTGTGGGGGGGGGGCGTTTCATTTCAATAACGCTAAGATGAGACGAAAGCATTCCAGCTGAAGCCTCGCACCACGAGAGGCAGCAGACAGCGTAACGCGCTCTTGTGTTTGGAGTGCACTCGCTCTTGAATAAGAAGGCCAGGAGAAGTCAACTCTCATAAGGCACTCGAAGGTGATCAGGTTTTGTCAACTTGACCCAGCAGGTATTTTGTTCTCTCAATTCACAAGAGGTTTTAGTCGTTTTATTTATTTATCTTCGGGTGGGGTGGCAAAAGAAAAAATGCACGCCACCAATGCAGGTGGTCAGACTAAACATGATTAAAAGCAGACAGACAATCACACAGATCGTCCTCTGTGATCTCGTCGCTCATGCAAATGCTCTCGGGCACGGAGGGGAAGATACGAGCGCATTGATCACATCAAGTCTTTGCTTGTTGAGACAGAAGGCAAATTCGGATTTCATCTTCTCATGGGGACTCATTAGCGGTCTTGAGTGATTAAATTAAGTTTCTTTTTTTTTTCCCCAGACAATGATCTTTTTTTTTTTGGATGACGAGAAAAACTTTGACCTAGCTGACCGTTTCGTTGTTTGTTGCTGTGACTGCTTCCTTGTGACGCGTCTTAAAAGCAGCTGACCGAGCGGGCTGGGAAAACCTTCCAAATAGGGCTCCCCGATCCGCTGGAGGCTGCGCTCCAACCCCCCCGCAGCTGTTCTGAAGACATGTCGCAAGGAAGCAGCAACGGCTTCTCCATTCCTTGAAATTGAAAGGGCGCGTCTCCCTCTGGCTGTGGGTTCATCTTCTTCTTTTTTTTTCCTTCTCATTTTCTGTTATACTGAGCACTGATGAAAACTCACCAGAGCATCATTTCAAAATCAACATCTTAAAAAAAAGATTTAGGTTCAAAAAAGAAAAACATTCAGAACTAATGGAGTGTCCCCCCCCCACCCCCATAAAACTGACGAAATATAAAAGCATTACAGATAAACAGTTGGAGGGGATTAATACTAATAACGATACGAACATGACGTGTATCATCCGATAATAATGATCCTCAACCTTTTTCAACTTTATTTTTCCCCCTGGGGAGGGATTCTTCCCCTTACGTCTTCCTTTGACGCCAACTTTCAGCGCGTCCTTTTCAAAACGTACAAATTAGTCGTGATGCGACATTGCCTCCGAGCTTTCATTCTTGTCTCTCCGTGACTTTTTGAAGCTTGCGCACGAGACTCCCGACGGCACGGTGCCGTCGCGCTGAAAACGGCGCTCGGCATTCTTGTCCTTTTTCACCTTCCGTTCCACGGCCGCCGCTTTCTGTCGGACTCTTTTTTTCCGGAGACAAGGGAACAAATTCATCACGGCGGTGCTGGCGACTTGGATGAAATGTGGCTAAGCACACTATGCCGTGATTTGCTGCTCAGAGGTTTCGAGAAACCGCCAGCAGATGCTACCGAGAATGAACAAATCTTTTTGCTCGTGAACAGTGAAAAAATGACTTTGGAGAGTCCTCATTTGCTTATTTATGGCTGGAAATGTAACCGTTTAGTGGTGGCAGACTATTCTTGAGCATTGCAAACTTTTTTTTTTTTTTTTTACTTTTTACAGATGAGCTTCTAATAGCGCCAAACAGTCGTGAACAGCCGTGACAGTCCGGGGAGTGTTTGTCTCCCCGATGGCTTTTTATAAACTCCAGACGGGAGGCCCGAGAGAATGAAGATGAGATGTTGTCGTTTTGAGTTAATTAGTTACAGGACGTGGAACAAAGTTCATCAAGCCATAAAGTTTGCTGCAAATTTGAAGAACGGGCAGTCACCGTTTGTGACGACAAAACAAATGCACGCCGATTCCGATAACCGATGAATCCGCCCCAAAAAAATCTACAGTGAATAAAAACTCGATGCTAATGACAGCAAAGATGTGAATTACAGGCAGAACAATGGGCAGTTTTACTCGACTTGGTTAAAAAAAAAAAAGTTCGAAAGTGCTGACTTGATCTTTTGATTGAAGACGCGGAATATAGGCAACAGAAGGAGTGAATTTCCTGGCAAAACCTGATGATTCAAGATGCCCGTTAAGTTAACGTTGACCCCCCCCCCCCCCCCCCACACCCTTCCATTATTTTCTTTGCCATGAAGCACTGGCTGATCGGAACCAAATGAAAAACCGGAGGCGACTTCCTCAGATGTCAAAACGTGTTGACATCTCCCATTTTCAAGGGGAAGCCAACCCCCAAATTTTCTTGACAATAAACGCTCTACGCGCCCGCGCTAGTCGAAACACGACCTTCTGATTCGTCTTGCGTTTGAGGGAATATCAGCCAAGTAGCGAAACGCACCTGTTTCTAGCTCTCTCGGGGGGCGGCCATTTTGCCACTTGCTGTCGGCTGAAAATGACATCACAGTTGTCCGGGGCTCAACTGTGATGTCATTTTCAGTCGACAGCAAGTGGCAAAATGGCCGCCCCCAACCCCATTCCTTGAGATGGACAAATTCGGGCGGCTTCTACGACTTAACTTCCCCAAACGCGATATAAATGAGAAGGCCGTGTTTCGACTCGCGCGGGCGCGTAGAACATGTCATTGTCGACTTCCCTTTACAAGATGCGATGTCGTGAAAATGGATGCGCCCGCACGCTGATGCTGAAACTTGTTCGCGGTTGGCCTTGTCGGTCGTCGTACGTGCTGGATTTAAGTTCAGGCTTTGAATGCAGTTTTCCACGGCCACTTATTGCTGGCGTTAAAGCCATCGCGTCGCCAATGTCCGATGCTTTCACGCCGACTTGTCATCCCTCTTCCTGTTTTGTATGCACGGATGAGTGATTTGTGAGACCGTCGGGTTTTTATTGCATCGTCCTTGCACCTCGCTCTCCAAGCGGGAGCAATCAAATCGCGCGCGCCTAATCCGGCTGCGGCTCGACTGACTCGGTTTCGGGGGCGCGAATCTGTCTCATGCAAAGGCAGAATACGTCTCCTCCTTGGCATGCTGACTGGGGGGGGTCTGGCGAAGAAAAAGTCATCGTTACTACTCAGTTGGCTCTTTTCAGCAACACGTGTAGCGACTTTTTAGCGGTGTTCTCGGAGACCGCGGGATGGCCCCCGTGGCAGGTGACATTCAGCTCTTTGTGTGCAGACTGCAAATGGGCGGCGCCACCCACGGGGGGGTTATTTATATGTTAATTGGGTGTTAGCTCGGGTAGCGATCAGAATTTGAATTTCCTTGTGGGAGGAGCTAATAAGGTATGCGTCGCTGTTTTCACTTCAGTCCATTCCCTCTCCTTTTCTTTTTTACGATGAAAAGCAAATGTGCCCGCGGCAGCCCCGCGTCACCGTCCCAAAAATGGAAACGTTAACAAGGAAGACGGCATGAAGGAGCGGAAAAGGGCAAGGCTTGCTCCTCGTTAGTGACAAAAACCGGAGGCGCTGGACACTGCGGCAAGATTCATCCATAGGCATCAGCGCGCGTCGCCTGGGCTTTCTTCCGTTTACCTCCTGCCGGCATCAGTGGGGGAGCCGGGAAAATGTGCGCTTGTCTTCTCCGTGCTTCCAGAAAAAAAAGGCTCTCTTTTTTTGCACTGTGCCAATTAGGAGCGCTTAAGTGACACCCCGCACGATTTTTCCTGAGACGAGGCTCACGGGAAGGTCACGGTGGGTCTGCCCCCCCCCCCCCCCCCCCTCCCCTTTCCCCCACCCCCGCCCCCCCCCTCC